GACAAAAAGCAAGCCTGGAATCTAAGAGTACAAGTAAGACACTACATCATACGTGAAGAAACATTATACTGAAAAAGTGATTTTGAACTTAAATGACCCTTAAAAGTCTTACAACAAGGTCAAGTGCTATTATTATTGCAAGCTATGCATAATGATTCTGTAGCAGGACATCTTAGTAAAGGAGCAATGATCAAGAAAATAAAGAAAAGGTATTATTGGAACCAGTTTGTAAGGGATATTAGGGGCTAGGTGCGAAGCTGTGACATGTATTAACAAAGAGGGAAGCCTAAGGCAAGGGAAGCACTACACTCTATAAAAGTGACCCAACCATTTGATCAAATAGGGATAGATATTGTTGAGCCTCTGCCCATTATGAAAAAAGGAAATCGCTATCTTGTGACTGCAGTAGAGTACTTGACGAAGTGGTTTGAGTCACGAGCCTTGCCTGATTGTTCTGCAGAATCTGTGGCTGCATTTGTATTGAGGATATAGTTGTATAACATAGGTGCTCCTGTATAATTCAGTCTGACCAAGGGTTATATTTTGTGAATAAGGTCATGAAGTTGGTTTTTGATAAGGCAAAAGTAAAGTATAAGCAATCATCTATCTACCACCCACAAAGCAACGGGCTTGTTGAAAGGTTCAACTGAACCATTAATGAGGCACTGTTGAAATATGTAAATCAGTATAACAGAAATTGGGATGATTACCTGGCTCTTGCACTATTTGCATATAGAATGACTAGGCATGGCATGACGAAGTTTAATCCCTTTTACCTTACGTATAGTCATGAAGCAACATTACCTGATAAATTAGTAGTAGGAACTTACCTGTAGACTTGGATGATGATAAGCAATATGAATAGTTGGTTCTGGTCTGAATATTAAAGTTGATAGATGAACTATTTGAATCACAGGTTCAAGCTTAAGAAAATATATGCAAATCGCAGGAAAGGCAAAAGCAGTACTATGATTAACAGCACCTGCTACAAAGCTTTGAAATCAGAAATAAGGTCTTAAGATATCAAGCAAAGCTGGGACAACAGCTGGGTGGCAAATTGAAGGAAAAATAGATGAGACCATACTGGATATATGACGTAATTAGAAACGGGATCTACAAACTATGAACAATAGGCACTAACGAATGGGTAATCAAGAAAGTAGTACACAATAGTCAATTAAAATGATATTACGATCATAATGACATAGTGATGAATAAAAAATTATATATATATATATATAAAAAGATGCAGATTCAAAAAAAAAAGAGAAAATCTAGTTAACAAAAGTGAAATAAATGGAGCAACATTTGAAGATATTGAAAAGAACAATCTAGCAGCTTGTTGACCAAATGAACCCGAAAGAAGAATTAAATATAAAAAGAACATGAGTAATGTTGTGCAACCAAAACCAGGAAATAGAAGAAACATTTGAAAAGACTATGAAGAAAAGCAAAGCCCAGCAAATCTATAACGATATACATCTGTACTTTCTGAACCTGAACCACCCTGTTGGGTTTAACCCCATGTTACCTATTGAAGTCACTGGTGTGACCTAGAATGAAAAAATAATGCAGGCATATGATGATGTCGAAAACTCAAACTCTTAGGCTTAGTCTAATGCCCATGTTTTGAAAATATACTATAAAGTTGGTAGCCTATGGTTTGAGTCTGGCTGGGGTGACGAAGCAAGAAAAAAGTTGGCTCAGCAACTACTGGGTTCAAAAGGAAGCCTCATCTGAAAGATTGCTAAGTGTATGTACCTGTTGTTTAGTACTTGTGGAGAATATTGTATATATATGGTTTAGCATATTTCAATTTTGGTGTTTGAGAGAATGTTGGACTCTGACTTTATGGAATTGTTGACAGAAGCAAGGAGGCTAAGGGAGGATGACACTAGGAGGCTGTTGGCGGGTTTGACAAAGCTCACCTTTTAAGGGAAGGAATATGTTAAAGAAAATTTCGTTGAAATTTTCCTTACTTTGCAAAATTTTTGTTATATAGTTCTTTATTTGCAGTAAATTATGTAGTTGAATAATATTAGCACATGTATAAATTTGGAACCCAGGGTCAGGGTTTGAAACTGAGGATCCGGGTTTGGAACCCCCGGATCTGGGTTCGAAACTCCAGATCCGGGTTCGAAACCCCAGATCCGGGTTTGAAACCCTTGTATGTCAGATTGTATAAATAGGACGCTAGTTTAGTAAATAAAGTAACTCTTTCTTACTCTGCTCAAGTAATAAGTACAGTGGATACATAACCTAAACTCATTTTATTTTTACCCGATAATAAATAATTAATAAGCAGTGACCTAACTTGAACCTATACGTAACCTGCAATAACCTAACTTGGACCTATATGTAACCTGCAATGACCTAATTTGGATCTATACGTAACCTGAGGTAACCTAACTTGGACCTATATGTAGCCTGTGGTGATCTAACTTGGACTATAAATAACCTAATAACAACTCATAACGACATAAGCATAACCGTAACACTTCTTTCGAATATAGTCTTGTTGAAGCGGCAATACTTACCAAATTGATAATTATTACCACATATAGATCCAGACTGTGTTACTTACCATCAGGATTTATGCTTATGGCGCTGAACTAAATTGGGGGACGTCTAAAGCCATGTCCAGTCACGTGTTTTTTGTTCTTAATTAAAATTAGGTTAAGGGTTAGTTTGGGGTTAAGGTCAGGGCATGTCTTATAGTAAAATTGTCTTCCCGACATTTTTTATTAATGCACCAAGATGGGTTTAGACTATCGTTTCTTGTATTTTTTGCGATTTTCACTTTTTTTCGCTGTTTTTTGTCTCTTCGGGCTGATCCGTGTCGATCAAAATAAACAATTCTATTGGCTTTAGGTCACGTGATGGACACGGCTTTAGACGACCCCTTTTTTTGGAACAAAAAATTGTTTTGATGAAATCTGATTGGTGCCGAGCATATGAATGATGTAATCAGATTAATAATCAAAACCGATATATAAAAAACTATTTTTTTTTTTTTTACGTTTTTATTCTTTCTACTTTTTTTATGCTTTTTTTACGCTTTTTTTACTTTTATCCTAAGTAAAAACCCATTATTACCTGTAGATAGTTTTTATTTTATTTTTAAAAAACTACATTAAATCGCGAATACATACAAGGTAATGTATCATAAATGTCTAGTTTATGATACAGTAACTGAATAGTTGCTGATTGATTGTATGTATTTATTCGCGACTCTTTAATCAGAAGTTGAAGATAATAGAAGCGCTTCGGGCCACAACTTGCGGCAGTTACCAGTTAGACATTGGGACCTATGGTAAACGGCTTGTTGTGAACGTCTATTTTCTTTTTTTAATGATTTTAGAGGTTACTATCGCGGTTAAGATTTTGATATCATGTTCGCGGGACCGACTAATTAAGACAATTACTTCTGGTAATTCCACCTTAAAAGGGTCGGGTGAATGTGAAAATCGGTATTAATCGTTGTAGGTGGTGAATAATACATAAAATCAAGCAACCGGAAGCTCTTCGTGGCCACAGTTACTGTGAACGTCCTTGTTTGGTTTTTCAGTTATGAAGCAATTTATTTATTTTATTTTACTTTTTTTTTGTACCGGTATAAATATAGGATATTATACGACGACGAAGAATACAAGTAATACGCAAGACCGACACGACGAATTTAAATTGGATTTATTTTATATAAACGTGAAAATTTCAAGTCTAAACTCTAATAATCAACAAATAAATTAGTACTTTTTAGTTTAGATAATTTTTTAATAGAGTTGTTTTTTCAATTATTTACAATTGTTATAATTTAATAAATCTATTCAATATTCGAGATCATTAATAAAAAATAAAAACAATATTCGAGATCATTTAATAAAAAATATAAATATTCCAAAAACATAGTTGAAAAGTCAATAAATCGAAATCGCCGTTTATTATTTAAGCAATTATTATAATCATATTCTATAGTTAATTATTCTTATATTTATGTATAAATATTCGGTTTTAATTATAACGAAAGAAAAGAATGGTTTTAAATTATCGATTCAAATTTTGTACTAGTCCAAAAATGATTATTGATATATCTTCCAAGAGCATGAAATAATACAAATCACTTTCTACTAAAGAATAGTTTTAATAGTAAAAATCTAAATTGTTTGCAAAACAAAGTTTTTGAGACAACTCCGATTCGTTCATCATTTAAAATGGGAAACAGCATAGTGAAGTATTAGAGATTCGATCGTCAGACTACAGTAAATTTGATGATTCAAAGTCCTGGTATTAAAACTAGCTATCCAAGCGCAAAACTAAAGCGCAGCTTGGAGAATTGTTATTATTAAAAAAAACTAATAAAATATTGAAGGATTTAATTTTAGCGCATCTTCTTAGAACCATTTGAAATTACTTATTAAATTCTAGTAACAAAGTGTCCTTTTTTTGTGCTTGTATGTCTGCCCTGATTTATGTTTGCTTTTGCTTTTTGAGCTTTTTTAGCACTTTTTTTTTTTCTTCTGATTTTTTGCCGGTATGATAAAAAGATAATCACTAATCGTCAAAGAACATAACGAAAGAGCTGCATGAGTTTGAGATAAAAGAATGGCGAAATGAGCCAACAGAAGACTGCAAGAGCAATGCTCGAATGATCTCATTATCGTTTTAAGCAACGTTTAATTAGCAAGACAAGAGAATACTCTTGGTGTAAAGTTATAATTTGTGATGAACATGGAAATTGTAAATACTTTCACAAGAAACTAGGACCAAACAAAACTTTTTAAGTGTTCTCAGTGTCAAATAGAGATGTACAGAGACATTAATGCGGCATGAAATATTCTTCTTCGAATCTTAACTTTTAATTGAGCCGCAGAATTTGTACACTCCTTATTAAGAATGATTAAATGTAGGCGATAATCGAATGTGATACAATTTCGATAAATTATATCGATATAGCGATAGCAGATCAAAATTCTACATCGACAAGGTTTAATTCTTTAAACATGGAAGGTAAGGCTTTTCTGTTTCTGTCGCTTTTTAATCAATATATTTACTAAAAAACTATGATTATTAGGTCACTTCAACTTTTCAAAAGAGGAAGAAAAAATTCTTGAATTCTGGAAGGAAATCGACGCTTTTAATACACAAATAAATTTATCCAATGGCAAACCACCTTACTCGTTCTACGATGGCCCTCCGTTCGCAACTGGACTTCCTCATTATGGACATTTGTTGGCCGGTACTATCAAGGTAACGAACTCATATTGCGAAAGCAAGTCATATCCTCTAAAACATGCAATGCTTATTAACATTAAAAAATAAAATAGGATATTGTCACTCGTTATGCAACTCAGACTGGTCATTATGTTGAACGTCGTTTTGGTTGGGATTGTCATGGTTTACCTGTTGAATATGAAATTGATAAAAAATTAAATATCAAGGTTTATATACTTCGTATTTATTATCAGCAAATCAATAAAACTTTATTAATAACTTGGATCCATTTGTAACATCAGGGTAAGGACGATGTTCTAAAATTGGGAATCGACAAATACAATCAAGAATGTAGAAGCATTGTGATGCGATATTCAGGAGCTTGGCGAGAAACTGTGGAACGTATTGGCCGTTGGATTGATTTTGATAATGATTATAAAACCTTAAATACCTCTTTTATGGAAAGCGTTTGGTGGGTATTCAAAGAACTATATGAAAAAAATCAAGTTTACCGTGGTGTAAAAATAATGCCATTTTCTACCGCGTGTACGACTCCACTTTCGAATTTTGAGGCTGCTCAAAATTATAAAGATGTCAATGATCCAGCTAGTAAGTGTAAATTTTCTGATAAACTGTCAACTTTGTTATTTTATTTAATTCTCAATTTAATTTTTTTTTATTTTTTTGCTTTCTTTGATCAGTTGTCGTCTCTTTTCCTTTGGTCAATGAACCGGATGTGCTTCTTTTAGCATGGACAACAACCCCATGGACATTACCTAGTAATTTAGCCCTCTGTACCAACCCTAATTATGAATATATCAAAATTAAGGATGAAGTTTCCGGGCATATATATATTCTTTTGGAGAAATGTCTAAATATTTTATATAAAGATCCCAAAAATGCAAAATACGTCGTATTGGAAAAAATCCTGGGAAAGGATATGAAGGGGTGGGAATACATCCCTTTATTTGAATATTATGTTCCTAAGGTGAATAATTATGACTATTCTAAAATTTTGAAATTATTATTATTTTTATTTTTGGAAATTAACATTTTTGCCCTCATTGATGATACATCTTAATTCGTCTATCATAAACACCATAAATTATTTCAATAATCCTTGCTTGTAATGTACTGAATTATGACCAGTTTAAAGGAAAAGGATTTATTGTATTAAATGATACATATGTCACAGATGATAGTGGTACTGGCATTGTTCACCAAGCGCCAGCTTTTGGTGAAGATGATCATCGTATATGCCTCGAAAACAAGATTATTACTGAAGATGGTTTTCTTCCTTGTCCTGTCGATGAGCAAGGCTTATTTACTTCAGAAGTAAATGATTTCGCTGGAATGCATGTTAAGGTTCAGTACTATATTTTAATAATCAATATGTGTCTATGAGCTTTTTTAATAATACAGTATAATATATATATATATTTCCTTGCTAATATTAATCTGTCCTTTAGGATGCTGATAAAAATATTCAAAAACTTTTAAAGCAAAAACATCGATTAATCATTCAATCTCAAATTAAACATAGTTACCCTTTTTGTTGGCGGTGAGTAATGGGCCAATTGATCTACACAAATAACAAAGATGAAATTCTTGTTGAATGTTTCTTAACATTATTGGCATTCGAATAGATTGGTAACGCTTATCCGCCTTAAATATTTGTAGTTCAGATACTCCATTAATATATAAGGCTGTTCCATCATGGTTTGTTCGCATCAAATCTATCATCTCTGACTTATTAAAAAACAATCAAGAAACTTATTGGTGAGTATCTTTATTTATATATATGTATTTTTTCCTGCCAAATAATAATAATACAATTAGACTTTGGAATATAGGGTTCCTGACTTTGTCAAAGAGAAAAGATTTGCAAACTGGATCATAAATGCCCGAGATTGGAATGTTTCTCGTAATCGATATTGGGGTACTCCAATTCCTCTATGGGTTAGCGATGATTATGAAGAGGTTAATTTTAGACTTTTAATGTATATGAGTGACGCCAAAGAGAAGCCAGACTTCAGGCTTTCAAGTTAATTATTTATTGTTTTACTGGATTCAGCCCTGACAGCGACACATATGACACGTAATTAAGTTTACCTACGTATCATATATGTTTATGATCAAGGATGAATTAGTAAATAATAAATAATAAATAATAAATTTGAAAACCCAAAGTCTGGTTTTCTCTTAGTGTCACCCATATGCTCTTTTCATTTAATGTCATTTAATGTTACATTTTTAAATTCATCGCACCATTTGTTTTATTTGGCAACAGATTATTTGTATTGGTTCTTTAGCAGAACTCGAGGAATTGTCCGGTTGTGATAAATTAACAGATATTCATCGCGATAAAATTGATCATATTACCATTCCTTCAAAAAAAGGAAAGGGCCCATTAAAAAGGGTGGAAGAAGTCTTTGATTGTTGGTTTGAATCTGGCAGGTATATATAATGAATATAATTTTGATTCAACACTTTTATGTTTAATATCGAATAATTATTTATTTTAATACTTTATAACTAATAATAGTATGCCATATGCACAATGTCATTACCCTTTTGAAAACAAAGAAAAATTCGAAGCTTCTTTTCCCGCAGATTTTATTGCCGAAGGACTTGATCAAACAAGAGGATGGTTCTACACTCTAATGGTCTTATCTACACATCTATTTAATAAACCAGCATTTAAAAATCTTATAACAAATGGTCTGGTATTAGCAGCGTATGTATTTAGATTGTCTGCTTTATTGCATTAAGTTCGAATTCAGTTTTTGCAACTAAATTTACTTTATTTAATTCACATTTAGAGATGGTAAGAAAATGAGCAAACGTTTGAAAAACTATCCTGAGCCTCAAACTATTATTAACGCGTATGGTGCTGATGCTTTGAGGTGTGGTTACTAAATATTCAATAATTCTTGGTAGGTTTATCATATCATTCTTAATTATATATAAATGCTTTTCAGGTTATACCTTGTTAATTCTCCGGTCGTACGTGCTGAGCCATTGAGATTTAAAGAAGAAGGTGTCAAGGAAGTTATTGCCAAGGTTTTCTTACCTTGGTACAATGCATATCGTTTCTTTGAGTCACAAGTTATGTTGTTGAAGAAGGTTGGGATTTATTAAACATCAACATGCTAATTGTTTCTATATATTTATAAAATAATAATTACAATTACCATAAATATTTACATAGGATACTGGCATAGAATTTAAATACAATCCAGTTGCAAAGAAATCCGAAAATGTTATGGATAGGTGGATATTGGCATGTACTCAAAGTCTTATTAAGTTTGTACGTGAGGAGATGGAAGGTATGGATTTGTTTACGTAATCATATATATGTATATTTTTTTGATGATGCTCATTGAATAACGGATGTGTTAATGTGTAATCAGCCTATAGATTATACACTGTTGTTCCGAGATTGTTAAATCTCATTGAACAATTGACCAATGGATATGTTAGATT